GGATGTAGTCGACTATTGGTGAAGTATAATTTGGCCTAGTAAACCCAGTGTTTAGGCCATTTCGAGTCATGATTCTTTCTACCATCGTAGCCAAGTTGTTTTCGACCGCGAGGTTGTTGCGTCTTACTTGTTGGACCACATTGTCTGCATCTTGGTTTCGATTCACCATAACTATTTCTGGGCTTCTCTCGACCTGGACTCTGGGAGTTTCGACAACATAAGGGTTTATTCCTCCTTGGTTCTCTAAATTGGCTTCTGGCGCCACTCTTGGAATTTGTTGTGGAGTATTCTCCACAGGGGCTTGGTTTCTTTCTAACGGAGGTACCCCTATAAATTCAATCAAGCGTGTTAACTGTGTCGCCAGTTGTTGGTTAGCGTGAGTTGTGTCTCGAATTAATGGCTGAAAGATCTCACCCATAGTCTGGGAGAGGGTTTGAACCATCTGTAAGTTACTCTTATCCATCTGCTACCTCAAACAGACAACAGACGTATTGGTTAGATTGGGACCTTGAGTCGAGTATCCTAGACTTAAACTCTGAGGGTTTTGACCAATGTTTGAACCAGGTCCTGATCCTTGCAAAGGTGACGCCATTGTGTTGTCAGAAAATACTGGGGGCGCATTTTGCAGCCCTGCATTACAGTCGTTGACATCCCATACGGGGGATTCCTTGGCAACTGCGAAAGACCAAGAGGGGCAAACTGCCTTGACACTGATGGTCCTGCTATTGGAGTTTGGGGATTCGACACTGGTGGCCCAATATACTCCAATATGGGTTGTGTATAAGGCCTAACTATCGTTGTCCCAGATCCTACTGGGGCGACGGTTTGTTCTGACCTTATGGGAGGCGCTACTTGCTCTCCTGTCGATGGTATAGGCGGTGGGACCATGTTGTTACTGGTTCCTTCGCCAGAACCTTGGACTTGTGGGTTAGGATTGTTTGGCTGGTTCATTTCCGTCGCCATATTCCTAAGGATTGTTCGTCTTTCTTCGTTAGCAGCGGTAATTCTACCACTTCTTAGTAACATATAATGTGCTTTCTACGAAGATTATTAAGACTTGTGAATGAGAATGTTTTAATTCTAAATCGCGGGGATATTTAGCACCGTCCCACCAGGTATGCCATTTTGTTTCCCTTGAAAATCGGAAAACAACCGCTGATCTTCCAATTCTGACTTTGGTGACTCACAGGATCGATCAGATTGATCCTAGGACATGTGATAAAGTATTCAATGTTTAGAATTAAATTTAAAGTACTTGTGATAACGAATTGGTAAATGTGCTTGTAATGAAAAAGACTTTGACTGGGTATTTTAAAGTGCATAAACTTAAAGAAACGCTGTAAAAGATTTGTAAAAGGATGATCGAAAAAGGTAAAAAGTTTAAAGGGAAGAAGGAATTGGAGTAAAGGATGCAGGAAAGGTAAAAGCAAAATGTAACACTTGCACAAGTGGTTCGACAGAGGAAATGTAAATGTTGCTGAAATTGTAAAAGACTTTATTGAAAAGTTGGTGATTTTACATAACGTACATTCTCTGTGAAAATACTCTTTTCTCACACTCGGGTACTTTGAGTAAATTTGATTGGAGTTACTTTGTACAAATGGTAAAACACACAGAAATCTGCCTAACAAATCCCTATTTATAATACTAATAATTAACTGCTAATAACTTCCTAGTGTCTCCTCGATCTAACAAGTGTCTTTTGCATGTAACTTCCTGCTCTAGAACTCGCCAGTGTCTTACGAAAAAAAACCCTCCCTCCAAATTTCGAATTTCAAAACAACGTAGCAATGCCATTTGCAGAATCTCGGTCGAACGACCTCTGACATGGTCGAAATGCTCATAACTTTAGGCTTCTTAATTTTTCTAAGTTATTTCATTCGTTCAGCTTAGAAAATTCCTTAGAGGCTGTCGAAACCTCTTTGCTTCATTTTACTTAGACATTAATTATGTCTTAATGTTTAGCAACCCAAGGCAGTGTCAAATTTGGGAGCTAACAATTGCGTATAACAACAATTGGGTGATTTACCAAATGGATGTAAAATCTGCGTTTTTGAATGGTCCTCTTGATGAGGAAGTTTATATGGGGCAGCCACCCGGTTTCGTGATTAAAAATCAATAGAGGAGGTATTACAAGCTACACAAAGCGTTGTATGGTTTGAAATAAGCTCCAAGAGCTTGGAACAAACGTATAGACGACTTTCTTGTTTACATCAGTTTCAAACGATGTGTATCCGAACATGGTATTTATGTGAGATCGGATAATATTGATGGTGTTATTATACTATGCTTGTATGTTGATGATCTCTTGATTACGGGCAACAATGACAAGAGTATTTCAAGGTTCAAAGGGGAGCTCATGAGTGAGTTTGAGATGACGGACCTTGGTGTCATGAGATACTTTCTTGGCATAGAGTTCCACAAGTCAAAAGTGGGGATGCTTATGCATCAAAGAAGGTATGCTCTAAATATCTTGAAAAAGTGTGAAATGGAGCATTGTAATGCTTCTAATACACCTTGTGAGGCTAGAGTTCAGCTGTCCAAAAGTGATGATGAGGATGATGTGGATCCAACACTTTACCGAAGTTTGATTGGATCGTTACGGTATTTGTGCAATACTCGATCAAACTTGGCTTTTAGTGTCGGTATTGTGAGTAGATTCATGGAGAGACCTAAGGTGTCTCATCTGGAGGCGGTCAAGAGAATCCTTAGATATGTGAAAGGTACTCTTGGTTGTGGTCTTTTGTTTCCCACATCGGATATGGGTCGCAAATGTACTTTACTTGGATACACCGATTCTAATTGGTGCAGAGATAAAGATGATCAGAAATCTACGGCGGGTTACATCTTTATGTTCGGTAGTACACCAATCTCATGGTGTTCGAAGAAGGAATCATTTGTAGCACTCTCTTCTTGTGAGGTCGAGTACATTGCGACATCATTGAGTGCTTGCCAAGCTATGTGGTTAGTGAATCTCATGAAGGAATTGGGATGTGGTGATGATGATGCCACCACATTGTTTATGGATAATGTTTCCGCGATAAATCTTGCGAAGAATCTGATTGCACACGGAAGGAGCAAGCATATTGAGATGCGGTTTCATTACTTGAGAGAATTGGTCGGTGATGGAAAGCTTAGATTGAGCTATTGCCGAATCGAGGACCAAGTTGCGGATTTGCTGACAAAGGGTGTGACAAATGAGGTGTTCAAGAGACTGTTGAAGAGCTTGAGCATGATGAATTTGGAGCAACTAAAGTGAGGTGATGTGTTGAAAGCTGTCAAATTCTGTTTTGGAAATTTAACAGTTTGTGCCACTTTAGTTGGTTTTGTTTGTTTTTGATTACTCTCTCATGTGTATATATACATTGTTGTAATCCCAATTCATAGTTAATGCCAATTTAGTGATTCATCCAATATTACTCTCTTCCCTATTCTCTCTTTCTCTCAATTCATCTTCTTTCTAAGTTTCTTTTCACCATTGTTACTACCTTCAAAATTCTGGTTTTATGTTTTATGTTGTTCTAACATAAAGATGGGTTTGGATGGAATGTTGATGTAAAATGTGGAGTTCATAACCATGGTTTACTTGATAGATTAGAATGCCACTCCTTTGTTGGTAGGTTAACCACAGATCAGAAGTAACATGTTGATTTGACAAAGAGACATGTTCCACTTAGACACATATTTTTTTTTTTGAAAGAGCGAGATCCAGAGAATATCACTAGGATCACGCAAATATATAAGCATACGAGTATGATAGAAAAAGAGATAAGAGGTCCTAGAAGTGAGATGGAACATTTGTTTAAGCTTAATGATGACGCAAATTATGTTTATTGGAGTAGAAAAAGAGATTAATATGAAGTTATTAGAGATATATTTTGGGCCCATTCAGATTCAGTTAAGTTGTTGAATATTTTTCCTATTGTGTTAGTTATGGACATCACCTACAAGACAAACAAATAGAGACAACCTCTGTTTGAAATTGTTGGCATGACATCAATCGAGTTGACTTTTACTGTCGCATTTGCATATATGGAGTCTAAGCGAACTGATACTTTTTGTTGGGTGTTAGATAAGCTTAAAGAATTGTCTGTAAAGAAAGATTTGTGTCCACAAGTGATTGTGACAGATAGAGATCTTGCTTTGATGAAAGCAATTGAAACTGTGTTTCCAAGGTCAATCAATTTGCTATGTCGATTTCACATTAACAAAAATGTTAGTATAAAATACAAGCAATGTGTAATTAATGACATGCAATATGGCCCAATACCTAGTTTCACATTCAACCCAAAAGAAAAGCCACAAAAGGAAAACCCCTTGGATAGTGAAAACAAGCTCTACATGTGAGAAAAAGATGTTGGTTGGCTTTCTTTTGCAAATTGGCTCCAATCAAAACCTAAAGTTTTCTTTAGCCCATGTTCACTTCTCGAAATTGTTACATGAAAACAACCATCCACATTTTTGCTTCCTACTTCCTTTATTGTTCATTGCACACAAATGAAGTTGAGTTGCAAAGGAGTGTCAAATTGTTTCTCCTTTTCCTCTTCCACATCTGCATGACTTGCAAATGAGCATAATTCTCTTATATCCTTTGAAACTAAATTTGTGGTTGCAAATTAAATCTGATATTGCAATAGCAACCAACACAAATCTTAATAACAAGTTTGTGACAAACTACAATAACCCCACCAACTTTGGTTTTTGGTTTTGAATATTAAAAAAATAAAATCACACCTATATTTAGGATTTACTTGCCAAACAATTTACAATGACTACAAATTATTATGATTTAGTTTGAATATGAAATGATTTTGATAAATTTGAGTCTTACCAAATTAGTTAAACAAATTAGAAAAGAAAATTACAAGAATTTGAGAATTTAATATTAATACGAAAAACCACTTTTATGCAACCCAAAGTTTGAAGAGAGAGAAGAAGAAGATCGTTCATATTCTCTCACCCTTTGTGGCATTTCCACAAACACCTCAACTCCATCATCTATGGAGGCTCTTACTTCACTTCACCACCGTCACCAACCTCTATGTTCCTCTCTCTACCCTTCTCTAACATCATCATCTTCTTCTTCACTCTTTCTCTCACAATCTTCACCATCATCATCTTCCATTAGAGCTTCATCTTCTTCTTCTTCTTCCGATTCTCCTCTTCGTGAAGCGGAACCCAAATCTCCTCAATTTTTCAACCCTAATCGTAAAATTCCAAACGTTGACCCTACTATTCAGGATCCAGAACGCAAATCTCCTCAATTTCTTAACCCTATTCGTAAACTTCCCTCTTTTGCGACGGTTACTGCAGCTGCATCAGCTTTTCTCTTTCTGGGTTATTGTCAAAATGCGTTTAACAAACCAATAACACCAATTTCCTCGGTTGTTTCTGTTGAGGAAAAAAGCGGTTTTGAAGAATTTTCTGAAAGGAAACCAGATCATGTTCAATCTGTTTTACATCTGAAGCTGAAAGAGAAAATTCCTGTTGTGCACAGTTTCAAGAAAGTTAAAACTGATGATGATGAAGCATGGCAAGTGTTGAGAGGAGAGGTTTTTAGCTGCAGTGAGAATTTGGAGTTGATTAAGATGGGATTTGAAGAGATACTGGAGAAAGACATGGATTGTAACAAGGTTCATCAAAATCGTGTTCTTGAGTATCTTGAAATGGTTGATGAATGTAATAGCTTGTTGAAGGGTATTATGGTTTCAATGAATATATATGAGAGGGAAGATGTGGATAAAAATCGGCATCTCAGATTCTTCTGCGAGGTTGTTGATCAAATTAGGGTCTTGGAAGGAGACATGGTTGGTGCTTTGAAGTATTTTAAGCAGCTTGAACAATGAACAAGAGTGAGTAAGAGGAAATTTGAATTGAAGGTTTTCTTTTTGATGATTCATTTCTGATAATCACCAATGAAGATATTTGAGGTTTTGATTATTACTTTTACTACTTTTATTATATGGTGTGTTGGTTTTAAATAGTGGTTTAGTTAGATATGATGCACATGTATATAATAAGGTGCTGAACATTTAAGTATTAGAAGCATAGTATGCACCTTTTCATGTCTTTTGAGATTGCTTACTGGTTGAGATGTTAATTTATGCGTATGTTGGAGGTTTCTCAAAGTTGATTAACTTATATTCTGCTTTCACAATTGGTTTGGTTTTTCACGTCTTCTATATTGCGATTCTGGTTCTTGTTTTGGGATGTACGGTAAGGAGATTATTCTTTTAAGCTTGGCTAGGAGTTCTTTTGATGAATGAATCAGATGTAGAGCAGTCAAACAACTAGAGATAGATGAATACTTAGAAAAACTATAAGAGAAACTATTAAGAAAGATTTCGAGATTAATGAATTGGGTAGAAACATGATATTTGATAGATTATTGTGGGCATAATTTGATCTATGTAGCCGACTCCACTTAGCGAGATAAGGTTCGACTGTTGTTGTATTTGATGAATGAAATTTATTCCTTGCACAAGATTTTGATGAAAGCTATAATGCAATTTCTGCAATAGTATCTTTAGTGAAAAGCTATGCATTTCTCTAAATTTGAACACAGTATCTACAAAACCAAGTTGGAAAATCTTGAGCTAGAATCAACTTGTATGAAGGGAAAATACATCTTTAAGGTGAGAGTAACATAAACCTTACAAATAGAATACATTTTTTTAGCATCGAGCATCACAGCATTTAAAATTTGTACATACAACACGGCGTCTAAGGATTTATACCTAGTTGGAATGTTGTTTAACAGAGTTTTATGGTACATTACATATTTGTTTACTAGTTGGCAATGTTTCTTTCACTGCCTTTGCCACAATATGCACAGATCTTTTGCAGCTTTAAAATTCTCCATTTGCTGTTAGAGATAGATATTCTATATTCATGTGTCTTCACTTATAAGCAGTTCATGGCTTTTAGCTATTACTAATGGTATACCTTTATGGCTTTGCCACATTAATGGAGATAATGGAAAAAGTTTTGCAAGACTTTTTTGTTTGTCCAAACACCAAATCTGTTTGTAGGAATGGCCTGCAAGCTTGACTTGCCGCTTGCAGGCACATGATAAGAACACCTCAATTGAGCTAGTTAGTCGTCTCAGTGATCCGAAATTATTCCCCAAGTGACAATGTTCAAATCCATCGTTTAATGGTTTCCCAAATCTATGCTCAAAACTTCTAAAACTTCATGGTTTTTTTTAGTTGAGAACAGTAGGAACAGTGACAATAGCAGTGTTCCTAAGTTTTATCCAATTCAACAGCTCTTATGTTAAGTCTGGCCTTGTGGCCTTGTTCTGTGGGCTCAATTGAACATGAAAAGCCACATTGGATGATAGTCTCAAAAGATGAAAATCCATGTTAGAGGATCCATAGTTCCAAATCATATTCACAAGACATATAGAGAGTTTTGATACTAATAAGACTTCATATTGAAAGAGAGAGGAATTGATCACTACATCATGTTCTGCATATAGAAACTCATGTATGATAAGTGTTGATAAATAGATATTTGACATATGAAAATTTGTAATTACAATGCTGATTAAATAAGAAAGAATAAAAAAAAACTTTGCTTAATGAGTAACAAATTTCTTATTTATAGTTTAATATATACAACACTATTCAAATTGGTGAAGAATATCAATCATTTCAAATTTGTGAGTAAAAATTGGTTGAATCATTCTATTGTTAAACTTTTTGTTAATTTGTGTCAGTTGATATCCAGAAGAAATATAGGATGTAGTAATCAATTCACTATCTAGTTTTTCTTTGATAAAATGAGAGTCAATCTTAATGTAATGTAGGAGGTAGTAATCAATTCACTACCTATCTAGTTTTTCTTTGATAAAATGAGAGTCAATCTTAATGTATTTTGTTCTATCATGCTAAACATGATTATGTGCATTATTAGTGGTCGAGTGATTATCACAAAACAACTTTATAGGACCTTCATACTGTATCGTCACAAATTCTGTGTCATAGCTACAAATTCTGCTTTAGCTTTTGATTGAGCAATTACATTTTGTTCTTACTCCTCCAAGCAGCTACAAATTCTGCTTTAGCTTTTGATTGAGCAATTACATTTTGTTCTTACTCCTCCAAGCAACTTGGTTCTCATATAAGAAGGTACAATAACTTGAAGTAGATCTTCTATAGCTCATTGAACCTGCATAGTCAACATTATTATTATTGTAAGCTTTCATAGTTAGAATTTCACATCTTTTAAACAAGAGCCTTTTACATATAATAACTTTGAGATATTGTCTAAAATGTTCTACAACTTGCAAGTGTATCTTTTGGATCATGCATAAACTGGCTTACCACACTCATGGTATATGCCAATTCTAATTTAGTATGTGCTAAGTAAATTAACTTTTTCATTAATCTCTGATAATGAACCTTATTAACTTTGGTATTTTCCTCCTCAAGGCTTACCTTTTTTTTCTTTCTAAATGAGAAGACCAAGTTGGTCTGCATCTAAGTTTTCTGGTTTCTTGCAAAAAAATCAAGTACATATTTCCTTTGAGATAAAAATGCCTTATTTTGAGTAAATTACTTCAATTTTAAAAAAAAAATACTTGAGTTGTCCAAGGTCTTTCATCTTAAACTCTGCTGACAACTTTTTTTAAGTAGTTGTCTCTTGATCAAATCACTACATATAACAATAATAACATCAACATAAAACAAGAAGTACAGTTAGTTTTCCTCCTTGTGAATAGTTTTACATCAAGTTGGTGTAGTTTCTAACGAGAATGAATAACAAGAAATAATAATATACAAACAATATTCATCTTTTTCAAGGGAGAAATCTTTGTCAAGAGAAAATGTCTCTTCATCAATGGTATATGACTAAGTATATCTCTTTCACTAGTCTAGCGTTGTAACAATCAAGGGCGACATCTTGCTTGAGTTTCACAGTATAAATCCATGTGCAACCATCTGACTTTCCACCTCTTAAGTTTTTTAACAATCTCCCAAGTTCCATTTTTTAAAGTGCTTTCCTTTTTTCTCATCTTGAATCTAATTTTTATTTTTCAATGTCTCTTGAATAAATTATGGAATTTTCATATAGTCAATAGTTGCAATGAAACTCAGAGGATGTGGAGACAGTTTTTTTTAGAAGAGACAAATTTTGAAATATGATATCAATACGTAGTGACACAATAATTCAAATTTTGAAATATGATATCAATACGTAGTGACACAATAATTCAAATTTTGAAATATGATATCAATACGTAGTGACACAATAATTTATCACTTTTAAAAACAATAGGCAAATTATCTAGGGTAGTTTCACAAGAATTAAAAATATGAGAATCGTCAATAGAAGAATCTTTTCCAGTACTTACCTCTGATTTAAACGATTGAATTTGTTTCTAAAGTGTATCAGATTTACTTATTATCTAATTTATTAGAGTTGGTGTTAAAGGCATTGGAACAATTATAGACCCAGATTCAAGTTCAACCATTAGAGAATAAAAATCACTTAATGACTCAAGTTAAGAGTGGGAACGATGTTATGTGCTCTAGGAAAGCTAGGATCAAAGGTAAGGAACTCGAAATTTGAATCTAGATCATTTGTATTTTCCCCCTAAAACTAATGACGTGTGATGTATGACACATTTTCATGAAAGGTGAGATTTGGGAGACAAATTTGATTATGAGGACGGTAAAATTTGTACCCTCTTTTATTAGGTGTATAACCCAAAAAGATATGTCTCTCTGCAAGAGGATCCAATTTGTTGTGATATTGTTTAAGAACATAAATAAACGTAACATAACCAAACACTCGAGACTCAAGGCTTTGTAATATAGGAACATATGAAAATCGAGAGAGCGTAAATTTAACAAAGACTACCATAACCTAAGACTCGATATGAAACACGGTCAATCATATAGGCATCAGTGAGAAATGCTTCTCCTCGATAAGAGTTGAAAACAAACCTTTAAAATAAGAGATATCTAGCAACTTCAATTAAATATGGTTTTTTTTTTCTCTTTCAGTAACACCATTTTGTTAAATGGGGTTGACATATGTGAATTTATGAATAATATCATGTTTATAAGTAAAGTTTGAAAAATACATGATTCTTTATTATTGTTAGATCGGATTCCTTTATACATTTTCCAAATCGTGTTTGTACCATATTATAAATAATTATAGTATTTGTGAATTTAAAATTCATCAAGAAGAACCAATACTCGTGCACAATCTCATAAATGAACATGACAAACAATTTTGCCAACAACAATTATGGGTAAAAGCTGACCCCAAAACATCATAATGAATAACATTAAATGGTTCATTATTTTTATTAAAGCTGAAAGAATAAGAGACATGATTGTGTTTTAATAACTAACAAACATCACACTTAAATGACTCAAGAAATTGTTAGTAAGAGTAATGACAAAAATATGAACTTAATTATATAAAATGGAGGATGTTTAAGACACTTGTATTGAAGTCAAATTTGTGAGATAGAAAATAAATCCTCATACTACAGACATGAGGACACTACATTTAGACCATCTGACTCCTCAAAGAAGTAGTATAACCATTTCCTTTTTTTTAAAATTCCAATTCCCTCCCCCGTAGTAAGGTTCTAAAAAACTCAATAAGACGTAAAAAAATATTACTTTACAATTATGATCGCAGGCAAGCTTATGAATGGGAGTTAATGTTACTTTACAATTATGATTGTAGGCAAGTTTATGAATGGAAATTAAAATATTGAAAAATATAAAATCATGAAGTACATGTTGTAACTTAAATGGAGGTTGTAAGTCAATTTACACTTCCAACAACACGAGCATGAGAGCACTCAATAACACTGATA